TGATGGTTTACTAATTGGTTCATGAAAAACTCTTTCCTTCTGATTTCATTCTATCCATTTTGAATAAATAAAACCAAATGAAGATGAATTGTTTTCTATTTTGATGTAATCACAGCTGAATTTAGAATAAAACAAAGAACGAAGGCTTTTTTAAACACTGTTAATCTGCAGGTAATAATTTGTAGAGATGATTAGTTATGGTGGGCAATAATTGAAACATGGCTACATAGAGAACATGATTGTCAATTAAATATTGCCAGATATAACATTTTTAGGAAGGCAGAGTAGCTATACTAGCTAGCAATAACAGAGTCATAGTCATAGTCATACAGCACAGAAACAGACCCTTCGGTCCAACCAGTCCACGCCGAACCTAATTCCCAACTAAACTATTCCCATCTGCCTGCTTCTGGCCCATATCCCTCCAAACCTTTCCTATTCATGTACTTTTAAACGTTGTAATTGTACCTGCAAACACAATGAAGATAGTATAAGGCGTAACTAGCAGTAAAACGGATTTGAAAAATGCAAATGAGTTAAAAGATAATTAATCCGCTATCCTAATAGAACCATAAAATCATAAGATGTAGAAACATATGTAGGCCATTTGGCCCATCAACTCTGCTGTCACTCACTGAGATCATGGTTGATCTGATATTTCTCAACTCCACTTTCGTGCCTTATCCCCACAACCCTCAATTTCCTTGCAGGTTAAAAGTCTGTCTCAGCCTCAAAGATGCTCAACATCACTCTGTAGTCAAGAATTCCATAGACTTACAACTCTCTGAAAGAAAAAAAATGTTCCTCCTCATCTCTGTCTTAAATGGGTGACCCCTTATTCTGAGATAATGCCCTCTGGTCCTAGTCCTTCCCATATGGGTAAACAACTTCTTCTCATCAACTCTGCCTAAGAATCCTCTATGTTTCAATAAGGTCTCCCCTGATTCGTCTTGGATTCCAATGAATACAAGCCCAACCTACTCAACCTCTCCTGATATGAAAATCTCTCCATACTCAGAGTCACTGTTCTCTGGACTGCTTCTAATGTTAGTACAGGTATATCTTTCCTTAGATAAGAGGGACAAAACTGTTCACAGTATTCTGGGTGTAGTCTGGCTAGTGTCTTGTATAGGTTTAGCAAGGCCTGCCTATTGTTATGGTTCATTCCCTTTCAAATAATGACCAATATCCCATTTGTTTTCTCCATTAACATTGAACTTGCATGCTAGCTTTATGTTACTCACGCGAAGGATTCCCAAATCTCTCCGTGCTGCAGCTTTCTGCAATCTTTCCCCATTTAACATCTACCTCTTCTATTTTTCCCATCAAAGTGCATAACCAGACATTTTTGTACATTATATTTCATTTGCCAAGTTTTTGTCTATTCACTTAACCTGTCTATATCCCATGTGCAAAAACAGAAGTTGCTGGAAAAGCTCAGCAGGTCTGGCAGCATCTGTGAAGAAAAAGTCAGCGTTAACGTTTCAGGTCTGGTGACCCTTCCTCAGAACTGATGGTGGCTGGGAAAACGTTGACTTACTTCCAGAAAATAGGGAGGGGAGTAAACGATAGGATAGAGCCCAAAGAGAGATAACAGCAGTTGGATGGACAAAAGAGTTGATAACGATCTGGCTGGAAGGGCGAACAGTTGTTAATGGGGACTATTAGTGACTAACAATAGGTAGTGTGTTATGGCAGGCTATGGGATAACAGGCTTACCTATCAACTCCTTTGTCTGTCCAACTGCTCTCCTCTTTCTTCAGGCTCTATCCTATCGTTTACTCCCTACCCCATCCCCCTCCCTAATTTCTGCATATAAACTGACATTTCCCAGCTACCATCAGTTCTGAGGAAGAGTCATTGGACCCGAAACATTAACTCTGATTTTTTTCTTCAAAGACCTGTTGAGCTTTTCCATAAACTTCTGTTTTTGTTCCTGATTACAGCATCCGCAGTTCTTTCAGTTTATATGCCATTCTCACCCTCACTACTTGCCTTCCCTCCCATTCTTGTACCATCTGCAAACCTAGTGATAGTACATGCATTCCAAATTGTAGAAGGAGTTTGGATGAAGAAATACATAACTAAGATGTGTGGTGCAAGCATAGAATAATAATCAGGGATAATTTCAACTATCTCAAATAAAATAGCAGAATGGAGATGTGAAAGGAGAAAATTGAATAAAGTTTACAGTTTAAACAAGGCTCATTTCCCACTGAACCCATAAAAAACAATTCAGCAAGACAATAATCACTCAGATCTTGTAATAATTACTGAACCAAAACAAATGGGTAAGTAGGAGTAAAAGGGCAGTTAGTGGTGATAATAATCTTAGATAGTTCAAGGTTAGGTTTGAGGCTTACAAAAAGAAGAAAGATTAAAGAAATAAAGGTCTGCAGCAAGAAAATGCAAGTTCTGAGGAAATAAAAGTGAAACTAAAGAAATCAACTGGGACAAAACCTTGAAAATCTTGAAACTTTTTTTTACAAAAGGTAATCAAAGCAGTTCAAGAAAAATGCAACACACTGAAGGCCAGAACAAGCAAAGTAATAAAAACAGAAGTTGCTGGAAAAGCTCAGCAGGTCTGACAGCATCTGTGACTAAAAAAACCCGAAACGTTAACTCTGACTTTTTCTTCACAGATGTTGCCAGACCTGCTGAGCTTTTCCAGCAACTTCTGTTTTTGTTCCTGATTTACAGCATCCACACTTCTTTCGGTTTTTATTTTACAAGCAAATTAATTATGGGGCACCTAGGAGAATAAATAAGCAGAGGAACATTGAATCTAAAATAAACATATGTAAGTCAAGCAGGAAGGTTAAATAAAAAAACTACTTTGCTTCAGTTTTTTAACCGCCAACAACAATGAATGGACGATGAGTTTAAAAATTTAGGATCAATGGGAGCAAATAATTGATAAATGACAAATTATAAACAAAGGATGAGACACTAACTTAAGGCAAAATGCATCCAGGAATATTCAAGGGAACAATGAAGGAGATAGTAAAGAAAATAGCTATTATATGTATAACTATTCTTAAAAGCAGGAATGGTTCTCAAAGGCTAGCAACACCTAAATGCAGATAGAATAAAACCAGGGAACTACAAATCAGTCAGTTTAAAGCCAGATAAGAAAGTCACTGGAATTTATACAAAAATGTGATAAATTAGCATCTAGAGACAGAAAATATAATAAAAATATTCAATAAGGATTCTAAAAGGCAAAACATATGTAACTAAACTAATAGAATTCTTTGAAGCAATAACGGAAAGAGGTGATGGGGCAGTGCAATAGATGAAAGAGGCTTAGATTTTGATAATGCTTTGGTGAGGGCTCCTTTGTTGGGCTTGTGGCAAAGTTTAGGACATCTGGAGTCAGCAGGCAAATAAGTGATTTGATAGAAAAGTGACTAAAATTTAGAAAGCAAAGAATAAAGGTAAAGTGAGTTATTTTGCTTATGGAAAGGGAAGATGTGGTGTTCCACAAGGAATAATGCTGGAACTGCAATTATTCACACGTTACATAGACAATTTGGACTTAAGAACATAAAACTCAGCACCAAAATTTGCAGATACTATGAAACTGGCTGTCTGGCAGTGAAGAAAAATGCAACATAACACAAGACATTATAAATATTGCAGACTGGACTGTTAAGTAGCAAATGAACTTCAACATAAATAATTGTGAGGTGATGCATTTTGGCAGAAAAAGATAGGAAGCTTTAGAAAGTAAGGAACTGAATGGGATAAAGAAATTGCAAAGGGATTCAGGGGTATGTGTGACCAAAACATTGAAAGCAACATCACAGGTTAGCAAAAATGCTAATAAAGCCTTTGGACTTAATTTTGCGGACATAGGTTGGAGCGAGATGGAGGGTATAGAATTCAAACATTGTAGTTACAATACAAGATCCTAATCAGGATACCTTCAATAGTTGCACAGTTCTGCTCTCGATACTATAAGAGTACATAAAAGCATTACATAAAGTATGAAAAAGATTTACTAGGTTAATATCAAAACATAAACTGAGATATTATGGAAAAGTTTAAAGATTTGGGGCTTATTTCTCAAGAATGGAGAAATCATAAGGGACATATTATTGAAATTTTTATAATGCTAAATAGCCCTGATATTTATGGAATAGCGTGTCTGCAGTGTGGAGGGATATTTATGGAATAGTGTGTCTGCAGGTTGGACGGAAGATATCCGGATGGAAAGCCTGGAAGCACCTGCTGGAGAATGTCTTTTAATTTATTTTCCCCAGGATTCCTGAAACATACAGCAGAAGAGGAAGTGGTGGTGGGGGATTGAGGGAAGGGGGGCAAAAAATCAATTTGCGTGTTCTACCCAACATTGGGAGAAATTTTTGGATGGGTGGAGTTGATGGCCAGGACTATGGCTGGGTGTGGAATGGATGATCAATGGGTGATCACAGTTGGGGTTGGAAATAATAGTCAGACAGACCAATTATGGAGGATTAGAAATGACAAGCCGGTGGGGTCCTAGTGATGAGACGGATCAGAGCAGTTTCACAGTGTAAGCTTGTTGAACTGGAAAGAAATACTCCTGCCACTCCTAATCCAAAAGCTGTAAAGGCATTCACCTGTTGGATTTAGGCCTTTCACTTGCCTGCCTTCTAAAGACCTGGGAAATCTAGTCGACATAAGTTAAAGTTATTAAAATGGAAGAAGTACTCCTTAAAACGGTTTTAGAGGCTGCCCCATCCGGAATAAGAAATGTTTTGTTAAAACCAGAAGTGGTAGTTTTGAGGTAGGTTGAATTTCCCGTTCAGATATTTTACAATTTAAATTCCTGCACCACCAAAATCCATTGTTTTCCACTTGTGGGAGAATCTAAAACAACGGGGCAAAAATATAAGGTAGTTACTAATCAATCCAATACAGACATGAGAAATGTCTTTACGTAGATAGAAAGTTGAATGTTAACTCACTATTACAGTAAGTAGTTGAGGCAATTAGCTTAGCTGTTATTAAAATTAATAGGACACTTGAGAAAATAAATGAATAGAAAGATATACAGAAAGGCTGCGTTGAGGTAGATGAAATGGAAGGAGACTTGTAGATATAAGCACTAACACATACTCAATGGGCTGAATTGCCTGTTTCTGGGGTATCTATTTTATGCAGTACAGCACAAGTAAGAAACATGAGTGAATAAATTGATAAAATTACAAACTATTAAAATACTGTTTTCTCCGCGTCATTAAATTCATTAACAAACTGGGTCTGCAGAAGCATTTTTTGTGTCACTTAATTCTTCATTTTCTGCCTGCGTTGCTGCCTTTTGGATGCACTTCAAACGGGCCTGTGCTTTTTCTTGTTCTTGTTTGAGCTCCAAATATGCACGGGAAAATGCATGAAAAATGGATGTTGCAGGAAATGCCATAATTAAGATCCCACTAAGGATGCTACTTAGAGCTATCACTTGACCAGGAATCGTTCGAGGTACCATGTCACCATATCCAACTGTGGTCATGGAAATGATAGCCCACCAGTAAGATGCAGGAATACTGCTGAAGTCTTGCCCTTTGCCCATCTCATTCTCTGCAAGGAATACCAATGGTGCAAATAGCGTGACTGACACACAAAGGAAAAGGAGCAGTAGTCCAAACTCACGAATGCTGCGATGGACTGTAAGACCCAAAGTCTGAAGTCCTAGGGAGTGCCTAGCAAGGCGCATAACATACAGAATTCTCAAGGCGCGCAATATTCGGAGGACCAGGCCTAATTTTTCCAAATGGATGTTACTTCCTGAAGGTTTGTTGCTGTCAGCAGGTCCTTTGTCAACTACAAGCGCAACATAATATGGTAGGATTGCCAAAATGTCAATAATGTTCAGAGGGCTTCTCAGAAACTGCCATTTGCTTCGTGCCTGTACAAACCGAAGAACAAATTCCAAGGAGAACCAGGCCACACAGATGGTTTCTATTATAAACATGTTATAGCATCTCTGGGAACATTTATCCTGTAGACAAAAACACAGAAACAAGAATTGGATAGCATTAATGGAAAAGCAAGTTCAGTCAGCAGTTCATTGAACATGAATTCCATGCAGATTCTGGTCCAGATTCTGTAGTTAGAATGACAGGAAAACTATTTTAGAAAGCAGAACAGTACAGCACAGGAACGGGGCCTTTGGCCCAAGATGTTGTGTTGAACATGATGCCAAATTAAACTAATCCCTTCTGCCTGTCTCAGTCGTATCCTTCCATTCCTTGCATATTAATGTGCTTATCTAAAAGCCCCTTACACACCCTTATCATCTCTGCCTCCACCACCGCCCCGGCAGTGCGTTCCTGACACGCACCACGCTCTGTATTAAAAAACTTGCCCCTCACATCTCCATTGAATTTACTCCTCTCATCTTAATGCATACACCCTATTTTTATTTATTTCAACCCTGGGGAAAAGATTCTGATCACCAACCTTATCTATGCATCTCAATTTTATAGACTTCTATCAAGTCTTCCCTCAACCTCTGCCACTCCAGAGAAAATGACACTAGTTTTTCTAGCCTCTCCTTATAGCTCATACCCTCTAATCGAGATAGCATCCTGGTAAACCTCTTCTGCACTTTCTCCAAAGCCTCCACAGCCTTCCTCTAATGTGGAAACCAAAATTTAATGCAAAACTCTAAGTGCGGCCTAACCAAAGTCTTATAAAGCTGCAACATGACATCCTGATTCTTGTACTCAATGACCTGACCAATAAAGGCAAACATGCCATATGCCTTCTTTACCTCCCTCTATCTACTTGCATGGCCATTTTCAGGGAGATATGGACTTGAACCCCAAGATCCCTCTGTATAACAATGCTATTCAGGATCCTGCCATTAACTGTACACTTTCCCTTAACATTTGCTCTCCCAAAGTGCAGCACCTCACACTTTCCCAGATTAAATTCCATCTGCCATTTCTCTGCCCATATGTGTAACTGATCTATAAGCTGCATCCTGTATAAGCTGTATTCTGTGACAACCTTCTACATTATCTCCAACTCCACTGATCTTTGTGCTGCCTGCAAACTTACTAACTCATTCATCTATGTTTTCATCCAAGTCATCTACATATATCACAAACAGCAGAGGTCCCAGTACAAATCCCTGCAGAGCACCATTAGTCATGGACCTCTACCAGAAAACACCCTTCCACCACGAACCTCTGGCTTCTATGGGCAAGCCAATTCCGAATCCAAACAGCCAAGTCACCCATGCATCTTAACCTTCTCGATGAGCCTAACATGAGGGACCTTGTCAAGAGCCTTACTAAAATCCACGTAAACAATATCCACTGCTCTACCCTCATCAATCACCGCCACCTTCTCGAAAAATTCAATCAATACAGTAAGACATGTCCAGCCCAGCCAGGCTGACTTTCCCAAAATAGGCCATGCTTTTCCAAATGTAAATCCTATCCCTAAGAATTCTCTCTAATAGCTTCCCAATATCTTTTCTGCCAATATCTTGTGAAACTGCCAGCAAATTCTGGTATAGAATAGAATAGAAATTTATTGTCATGTGTACTTTTACATGAAAAATACTGTGAAATGTTTTATAAGTTGTCCTACCACAGAGGTTATACATAATACATAATCTCAAAAAAGGTAAAGTCAGGACAAAGGTCGTCAGAGCTCAGTTAACAGTTCCTGGGCTCGGAAAAAGCCAATTAAGGAACGATGGAATACCTGGAAGACCCAGCCAGGAGGAGACTGCCTTTCTGGGATGAGCAGAAATTCAGAATTACTGTCTGTGATATCCTGTTCTCCCTTTGTTTCAATTGCATTGTTTAAATCGCTGCAAACAAATATCCTCAGATTTCATTGAACTGTAAGGTTGCTCCCCATGTATGTTGTGATGTCATTGTTAAAACAAAAAAAAATGTAATGCATTGTTAATGACCTGTAACTTTTTTTAATCATGAGTATAAAACCCATAGGTCTTCTGAATAAGAGATAACAAGGTGTAGAGTTGGATGAACACAGTAGGCCAAGCAGCATCAGAGGAGCAGGAAGGCTGACATTTCGGGCCTAGACCCTTCTTCAGAATCAGGTCTTCAGGTCTTCTGAATAACCTCTCTGGCCCTAGCGTGCTAATTTTAGATTTATGCATTGTCAATTTTTCCAACATGATTTAAAATAAAAACTCCTGGTTTCTAATATTTGTATTTTGCTTTAGGATTTTCTGTCTGTGAGAATTCATCAACAGAATTGCTGCTTACCCTGCTGGGTAACTTGGTTGTTGTTGGATTCCTGGGAGATCCCTTTGACTTTGTGCCACATTCAATTTAGCCACACAGTTTGATTATCACTGAGTGCAGTTTTCTTTGAGGACTGTGGAGGCAACTGTCATTTTATCACTCACCACAAAATTGGGGTCCAAAATTTCAAAACCTTGCTCCTTGTTCAATTACCGAACGATAAATCTAATAACCATTTATTTATTTTGCACATTACTATTAAGCCTTTTGTTACAATCATTTAAAGATCTATTCCAAATTCTTGCTTATTGCAAACCATAACCGAAAGCATCATACTGAACTCACTGCCTAAGTTTACTGATAGCACATTTGCATGACAATGCTGTGGTCTTTTGTGCCCTGTTTTTTTAAAAGAGAAAGATTAAGGGACTGGCGACAAGCAGTCTATGTGAAGATAAACAACTTGTGAAGCCTTGCGTGTTTTTTTTAAATGTTGGAACAACAGAAGATACCTGAGTGGGTGTGGCCAAGTTCCCACCTACGGAACCAGGGATTTTAGATTTAGCTTTCAGCAGGTGCTGTTGGGGTCTGGAAGAAGTGGAAGCTGTTCTTCTCTCTCTCAATTGCAGCCAAAAGTTGGGCATCCTCTTCCTGATCGCGTGTGGGACAAAATCTGTTTTCTGAGTTTGCCTTTTGCTGAGGAAGAGTTTATGGGATGTTATTATATTGGAACAGTTACTTAGTAATAGTTAACTGTATCTATTATTTCTGTTAAGTTTTTTTAATACAGTTAAGTTATTCCAAGTTCTTCTCTTTTTTGTTGTATTTTAACTACAGTGTTTGAATAAATTGTGTTTTGCTTAACATTATGAGTAGTTTGACCAATTGAACTTCATTTGGAAAACAGCACCTGACATTTGCCTTTGAAATAATTGTTCGGGTCTAAGCTATCTTCTTAAAATATTTTGAGGGGGTCTGGTCTGGTCGATACCATTTGCTGATGAATTAGAAATCTACTTGTTCAAGCCCTGTTCAGAAACCTTAGGACGTAGCCTAGCCTGACATTTAAGTGCACTGATTTAAGGTCATAAGACCATAAGATGTAGGGACAGAAGTAGGTCATTTAGTCTTATGTCCAATCCACCATTCAATGAGTTCATGGCTGATCTGATAAACCTCAACTCCAATTTCCTGCATTTTACCCAGAACACCTAATGCCCTTTGTAAATAAAAATCTGTCTCTCTCATCCTTGAATATACAAAACAACCTATCTCTACAGTCCTTTGCGGTTAAGAACTCAACAGATTTAGTACACTCTGAGAAAAGAAATCCCACTCTAGTTTGTTTTAAATGAGTGGCCCTATATTCTGAGATTATGCCCTCTGGTCTGAGACTCCCCTACATCGGGAAAGAAACCTCTCAGCATCCAGCAAGTCTCCAAAGAATCTTACATAGTTCAATAAGGTGTCATTCTTCTAAACTGCACTGAGTACAAGCCCAACTTACTCAATCTTTCCTCATAAGGAAATCCTTCTACGCCAGTCTTCAATCTCGTAAACCTTTTCAGGACTGCCTCCCCAAATATATTTTTTCCTTGGAAAGGGACGAAAACTTTTCACAGCACTCGAGGTGTGATCTCACTCATACCTTATGTAGTTTTAACAAGCCACCTCTATTTTTATACTCCAATCTCTTTGAAATAAAGTCCAATATCCCACCTGATGATCTTGGATGTAGCTTTTAGTTTTTGCTAACAGAGATTCTCCCTCTTAGAGGTGGTACATTTTGAATGAAATGTTAAAACAGGATCCAGCTGTTCAATCAAGTGGATGCAATAGTTCTAATGACACTGTCTGAAGAAAAGCAAAGGGAGTTTCGTTTATGTCAATAATGCATGTCTTTGTTGCGCTGTGTGAACCAGTTATTGTGTTTCCCTACAAAAATCAGTGAAAATACTTCAAAGATACTTCACTGGCAATGAACTACCTTGGGAATAGAGTAGCTCTGGAAAGCATTGTATAAATACACACTCATTTTAAATGTTCCAGTTTTTCAAAATGCATATGATACGTTTAACTAAGTGGAGAATTTGAAGGTTACAGTCTAGGCATACAGATTAGTGTGATATTAAAGGGCAAGCTCATAACTTTCAGATCACATTTCTCTAACAGAGTTCTAAATGATAGGGGCAGCATGGTGGCTCAGTGGTGAGCACTGCTGCCTCACAGTGCTAAGGACCCAGGTTCAAATCCACCCTTGAGCAACTGTCTGTGCGGAGTTTGCACATTCTCCTTGTGTCTACATGGGTTTCCTCCCACAATTCAAAAATGTGCAGGTTAGGTGGATTGGCCATGCTAAATAGCCCATAGTGTCCAGGGATGTGCAGCCTAGGCAGATTAGCCATGGGAAATGCAGCTTATAGGGATCAGGTGGTTCTGGGTGGGATGCTCTTCAGAGGGTCAATGCAGACTTGATGGGCCAAATGGCCTGCTTCCACACTGTCAGGATTGTTTGATTCTATGACTTTAATGGAGACACAAGAGCATCTTAATAAGAACAACAAATGGAAAAGCATCTGTAATAAAACAGCAGACAGAACAAGTGTTGTATAAATGTGTATCCTGAAATATGTCTCCAGTTTTGAGTCTTTTGTGGGTCAGAATGATATGATTTCACACTGATGGCAAATTTCCAATGGGATAAAAATCAATTGAAATCACCTCTCATTACACCATCTGGCAGCTAATGTGGTTTTCTTCACTGTCCATGTAGTGACAGTTACACTTTCACATAACAAATACGTGAAGCTTGGTGTGTCACATTTCCACTGTAAAGAGTTAGTTCTTGTGTTTAGAACTTACTTGGAAAAAGAAACACTCAACAGCCACTCAAACGATACTGCACCTCACAAACAAGAAGATTTTTAGTGGTACTTTGCTTTTAATGAGAAGACTGTCTGAAAAAATACATGTAGAAGTTAAATTACTTCACTTTTTTCAGTTCAAATGAAAATGTTATCTTACGTGGAATATGCAGGCAGTGCAGACTATTTAATAATTAAACTTGTCAGTTCTTTTATGTATTATGTGATGGTTCTACCAGGAATGTGCATTGGTGCAATGTCAACATGACATATTATTTTCTTGTTAAAAAGGCTACAGTATTGTTACGAATGACAAATCTCAAGAGATTAATCCCATTTTTTGGAGAACTTAAAATCTAACTAAAAGTAGATTATACTGACAGAACCATAAAAGAGCTATGGAATAGACTTGATATCTATGAACTTGGAGCATCTTGAAAGAGACTGCATCTCAGTGTGTTTTTCTTCTGTAACTTCAAAAGATTTGCTTTGCACTGCTCACTGATTTTTTTTTTCAGAAATAATTAAAAAAAACTTCTCACTAGAAATCCAAACACTGATGCTTTATCATTTCAGAGTAGTAAAAAGTCTATCTCAATAGGACACCTGATTCAAATTTGTTTACAGTAAAGCATATAGAAGTTCTTCAATGCATTTCATGAAAGAGCCCGAGGTATATATTGTGAAATTTGAAATGAGGTTTAAACTGAATCCATGAAAAGTTCTTCAAACGAAGTGATTCTAGAAACATGATGCCTCAAAAGGACACAGATACAGAATCAGTTGATGCATTTGAAACTGAGATAGATACCTTCTGTGAAGAAAATAAATCAAAGTTAACGTTTCGAGTCTGGTGACCCTGCCTCAGAACAGAGGAAGGGTCTGAGGAAGGGTCACTGGACCCAAAACATTAACACTGAATTTTTTCTTCACAGATGGTGCTAGACCTATTGAGCTTTTCCAGCAACTTCTGTTTTTGTTCCTGATTTACAGCATCTGCAGTTATTTCAGTTTTTATTGAGATAGATACCCTATTTGTGAAGCAAGGTTATTAAAGGATAAGAAGATAAATGAAGAATTTGGATTTTAAAAAGACCTTTCATGTCTAATGATATGGCAAAAATATGATATGGCAAAGCAGGCTCAAGGGACAAAATCTCTTCTTTGGTTGTCTAATTTACATGAACTATAAGTTTTTCTGCAATGCCCTGTTCTTTGCTCTGTTTTTTTTAATGTGTTTTACCTTAGCATCGAGTTTTGCATGCTATATCCCAATTGATATTCCACAAGTTGATTTGCTCTACAGTCAACTCAAAGGAAAATAAATTTTCAAAAATGCACTCTGACAAAATAATAAACAATTTAGTCTTGTTTTAGATGTGGAAAGATTATTTTAATCATAGAATCCCTACAGTATGGAAACAGGCCATACAGTCCAACAAGTCCACACCACCCCTCTGAAGAGCATCCCACTCAGACCCATTCCTCTATATTTCCCATGGCTAACCCACCTAACCTAAACATCCCTGGGCACTATGGGCAATTTAGCATAGCCAACCTGCCTATCCTGCACATCTTTGGACTGTGGGAGGAAACCAGAGCACCCGGAGGAAACCCACGCAGACACGGGGAGAATGTGCGAACTCCACATAGACAGTCGCCCGAGGTTGGATTCAAACTCAGGTCCCTAGCGCTGTGAGGCAGCAGTGCTAACCACTGAGCCACCGTGCCACCCCTTTTAGTTCAATCACCTATCGGGTCTAGGCCCGAAACGTCAGCCTTCCTGCTCCTATGATGCTGCTTGGCCTGCTGTGTTCATCCAGCTCTATGCCTTGTTGTCTCAGATTCTCCAGCATCTGCAGTTCCTACTATCTCTATCATAAAGATTGCTTTGTTTTAGAAAGTCCAGATACAGTGAAATGCTTGGTCCAAGTGTATCTCACTATTCTTTTTATGCAGGTAGAATATTCTCCATGTAGTACGAAAAGAAGGGGGAAACAATGCAAGATTCTTTTTAATAAAAGCACTTATGACTTTTACTATGCAGAAAATATGAAATGATAAAGTAATCTGAAAATTGAAATTTGATGCTTTTTTCCTCAGTGACATTCTGGTTTTAATGTTACTCCATGTTGAGCAGTTACTTTTAAGCCTATAAAATTTATTTGTATAGGATTATCAACAACATGACTCATATTGAGCAACTTACACTGTAGAAACATTTCAATTCAGCTTTGCTCACTGACATTTTATTGCACAAAATCAATACGGATGATTGTGGGTATCAGGAATATGAGATTTCGGGTAAGGTGAGTGAGCTTGGATCTGTTTACTTTGGAAGAGACTTCACAAGCAACTGAACAGAACTTTTTTAAGATTATGAAGGAGGTTAACAGATTAGATCGACATAAATATGAGGAGATATATGAGATAACATTTAAACAGCTAGAAGTTAAGAAGGCAAATCAGCCATAACGTTTAGTTTGAATAGTTTCAGAGTTATGGACTAACATAATTGAAGCAGATGTGAAAGTGTAACAACAACATCAGCTTGCATTTATGTAGTGCATTTATCACAGGAAAATGTCCCAAGCTGCTCCACAGTAAGAAAATAAATTTGATACTTGCATTAATTCATTCACGGGATGTGGGCATCCCTGGCAAGGTTAGCATTTTTGGCCCATCTGTAAATTAGCTTGAAAAGGTATTAGTGAGTGACCTTCTTTAACCATTGCAGTCCACATAGTGCAGGGACACCCACAATGCTCCTATGAAGGGAGTTTCAAGATTTTGGACAGGCCATAGCAAAGGAAAAACGATATAGTCCCAAGTCAGGGTGGTAAGTGGCTTAAACAGGTACATGCAGGTGGTGATAGTCAAAACAGTACTGTGATATCAAGGGCAGTCACTCTGACTTCACCTCTCAAGTTCAGTTCTTTGGTCCACATTTGGCCAAAGATTGTACAGTGGTCAGGAGCACAGTGGCCCTGGCAAATCTAAGCCGAGCTTCAGTGAGCAAGTTATTGGCATGTAACTGTATAGCACTGTCAATGAAAGCTTCCATTATTTAGCTGGTGATCAAGAGTAGACTGATAAGACAGTAAACGAGCAGTTTGAATTTATCTTTTTGGGACTTTAACCATACTTAATTAAATCAGGACAAATGGGGACGATTAACCAAAGATTAGTGAAAGAATTAGGTTTTAAGCAGCCTCTTAAAGATAGAGAGGTTGAGAGACAAAACTGTTTAGGAAGGAATTACACAGCTTAAAAACTCAACAGCTGAAGATGTGGCTGCAAATGGGGGAGCAATGAAAATCTGGGCTGAGCAAGAGGTCAGAATTGGAGCAGTGCAGACATCCCAGAGGATTTTGGGGCAGGAATACATTCCACGGACAGGGAAAGACGTGGCCTTAGAGGGATTTGAAAATAGGCATCAGAATTGCTGGATTAGGAGCCTATGTAGACTGGCAAGTCAATTAAAAGCATTTCTAGAAAGTAAAAGAAACTGAAGAATTTTGAATGAAGAGGCATCATTGGGATTGTCCCACATAAATGCACATTGGTTTCACTTAAGAACATTTAGGACAATGTGTTGATGTCCTGGTGTGCTCATAAATATTTCAGAAATTAAATTGTTTTCTTTGCTAGTTCATCTCTTACAGCACAGCAATAGATATGCAGACCATCTACGTGAAATAATAATCATGATTCACTTTTAGAAGTTTTTACTCCATATTTTTAGAAATTAACATCTTATTGATACATAGTGGTAGTTTTAACCACAGATGCCAATCTCGTTTTCAATAATTAATGCATTTACTGGAAACTGAATTTCAACAGAATATGTGCTGGCCATGGTTAGCACCTGTTGGTAGCATCTTAACAGAACATATGGAATTTAAAATAAATGAATGTACTCTCTATAATTACATTGGAAACAACTTAGAAGCAAAAAAGGAAATAAATTGCAAAAGTTTCTAAGAATCTTCAAATGGCAAATGTAACCTGTAAATTAAGTAAAACTGGAGCTCAGAGGCAGAGGAGTGACTGGATTGGTTGGTGTGCAGAGTCTGTAATGAGTCTGAACAAGAACAGAAATTGCAGGAAAAGCTCAGCCGGTCTGGCAGCTTCTGTGGAGACAAATCAGAGTTAATGTTTCGGGTCGAGCGACCCTTCCTCGGAACTCTTTCTGTGTCGAAATAACTCTTGACTGTGACTCACTCCAGTTGGGCTCTGAAGTCTAAAATGTCAGTGCACATTTGGAAATGAAATATGGGCACTTACCCTTTCCTCTCCTGTCCTCAGTTCCGGCACTGTACTGATGCAAATGCTAATCACTGTTATAGTGACAAATATAATGGACAGATAGGCGAACACTTTCCCAGGAATCCCTGACTGGGGGTTTTCCACCATGTCTCTCAGTTTTTCCATGCAGTACCCCAATTTGGTGCTGTCGGCCAGGACACTCGCTTTCTCTTTGTCCGCCTCGAGGTCTTCTCCCCTCCTGATTTCGGCCACCTCCCGAACTTTGAGCAGCAGTTTCCTGCGGCAGCACCACTCCAGCTGACCCTCCTCCACGCCCCAATACAGCAGCTCCTCCTGGAAGGACAGGGCGCACATCTCCCTCAGGAGGCGCAGTTTCCCGGCCGAGATGAAAGTCAGGATCATGCGAAAGGCGCAAGGGTTCCGGTCAAAGAAGAACTCGTGGGTGGACTCGTCATAGTCGTCGCAGATTTGCACGATTTCCTCGCGGCTGCGGCAAAACCTGAGCCTGCCCAGGCGTGTGAGTGGGAAGGCGTCCAGGGTGCTCCAAGGCAGCAGGTACCTACTGCCCCCCACATTGACGATGAGGTGCCTCTGCTGTTGCTGGTGCCGGGGAGTGTCGCTCAGCCCTCCCCGGTGCTGGATCCGCCTGCATCGCCGGTAAAAGACTCCCTTGACAGGAGGCACCTCCGAGTGACTTACTGGGACAATGTGGTTCAGGGAACTGCAAGACGTGTCGCTCAGATTACTGTAGTCGTTGTCGCTGCTCCGGGAAATGATGGGCATGGTGAATCAGTCCGCTGCAGACAGTGGCAAAGTCATCTGTGCACAGACAAGAGGGGAGGGGAGTTACGTGGAGACACTGACTGCAGATTCAAAATCAATAAGCAAGGCCAAAAGGGAAAGGGCACTTGGTAATATGAAGCATGTTCAGGGGCTCAGAGGGAACAAGGTGTCCTATAGCGCACAATGATAGAAGTACTCTCTGTGAAAGGGCTTTAGCTCTGCAATGTGAGCTCAGTTTCTCTCACCTCAGGTACTGAGCTGCTGAGTGTTCCCAATGTGTTTTATTCCAGAATTCTCAGCCCCACCTACCCAGGTCTTGTTCGTATAAGTAGTGGTGCTGCTGGTTCAACTTCTATTTCTTTTAAGAAAAGAAAGTCCTGTTCTCATTCTTGAAAGAGATATAACTCTTGACTGTGACTCACTCCAGTCGGGCTCTGAAGTCTAAAATGTCAGTGCACATTTGGAAATGAAATATAGGCACTTACCCTTTCCTCTTCTGCCCTCAGTTCTGGCACTGTACTGATGCAAATGCTAATCACTGTTATAGTGACAAATATAATGGACAGATAGGCGAACACTTTCCCAGGAATCCCTGACTGGGGGTTTTCCACCATGTCTCTCAGTTTTTCCATGCAGTACCCCAATTTGGTGCTGTCGGCCAGGAGATATACCGCCATGTCCCCCTTTTATCCGCTGGCTTCATTGCTTTCCATCGCCAAACTCTTAAGAAGCGAGTAAACTCATCAAAATATCTGCCCCAAGAACATTCGTCAGGGTTACCCCTGCACGACCCCGGCAGCTTCACTTGATCGCTATGCACACTGCCATTGCAGATTAAAATGGGATTCAGGAAGTTTTTTTTGGGGGAGGGGGTCTCTTTTTTGCGCGGTTAAAAAAAATGACAGATCTGATTCCCTATATTTAAGAACGCGCTGTTTTAGCTCGCTGTGTCTACGATCTCGAAGCACTGAGAATGAACTGTCAGCAAGAGAAGACCAAGCGACCCTCTGACCACCCCCACCCTCCGGCACACAGTACTGTGCTCTCATTATGGGGTGTCTCGGGAAGTGGGACCAGAAATAGGGCTGGATAGTGGGATTTACAGGTGCAAACACCAACATAACGCCAGCACAACAGTAAAAAGAAAACTGAAGCCCACATTTTATCCACGGGATAAAAGGAAAGAGCAGCTCACGAAGCGCTAGGCAACGCTAAACTTACTTTGAAAGTAATGAGCTAAGCGTGAAATCCACCAAGTCGTTCCTGCGATGCGAGAAAGCAGCTTGACATCCCATAGCCGGAGTTAAGGGGGAGAAATCCTTTCTCTGAAACGGTTTCTCAAATTTGTGTCCCTTCACAGAGATAAACTAAAAGCCAAAGCGTTCCCAAAGCGAAGCTGCGCTTTCCAAGCGCCTGTGGTCCGGGAACCCTCTCACATCCTCAGTGGTGGACCCCGGGCTCCCAAGGAGAGCCAGGGTTCCTGTCGCTCTCCTGCCGTGGGTCAGGCACTGCACTGAGCTCCAGCCGCACCGTCCTCCCACAACAGAAACTTTCTGGAGTCGTCACTGTCCTGGAGGTTTTGCCGCGATGTGGAAGAGCAGGAAAAGTGAGCTGAAGTGGGTAGCCGATACAGAAAAGACGGCTCCTTCTGTGCAACAGGATTCCCAAAGTGACAGCAGGCTATCAAACACAGGACGTCTCCTATTTCAATCTCACCACAGCCTTTTTATTTTCCGTGCCTATCGGCTTTGGGCATGAGTATTCATTTAGTTATGCAGAAAGTTCGGTGTAACTGTGAATTCCCAGCGTTTCTTGGATGGGACGGACATGCTTTTTTTCTGTTGATGTCTGCTTGATTTTACCTTGCAATTGGATCCTGCTCCAACACGGTTGCAATCAGCTGACGTTCACACAGAAGTTGAGAGAGAGCCGGGTGGAGAGCTGGGACTGTGTCAGACTGGGACTGATTTTCATCACAAGGAATCCCCAGCGTGGTCCAATATGCACCTCATCACATGTTTTACCCGCAGACAGACCAGCCCGTTAAATAATAAAAAACACATGCTTCTGTCGTCCCAAAACACTTAATACGAAAGAGGTATGACCAAAAAATAATTTGGCTATTAAAGTTTGCAAATTGAAAGTCGTTAGCCATTGCCACAATAATATTTTAGCAAGCTTTGAGATCAGGTAGGAGCCACAGAGAAGCATTTGGTGGACATGTACGTGTCGCCAGTTTGCAAAGGGCCAGCTGCAGTGTCAGTTCCAGAGCACCTTGTCATCACCTTGAAACTCTCTCCAGGAGAGGGCCCCACCTCGATCACCGTGTGAAGATCACCCACACCCTTAAACCTTGACACCAACTCCAGGCAAATTTGTTAGTGCTCAGCGGGGCCCTCGGACTTCTTAAGACAATCTGGACTGGAGTTATATGCACTGCTCTCTCAACCCCTGAACAGAGAGATTGGCAGTGATGGAGCCCCATGTTAATATCTGAACTATCCAGCGTGGGTTGGTAATGTGGCAATGCAGTTGTTGTTGTAATGCAGGCAAATGCAGCATGATGCAACCCTCTCTCCCCTCCCCCAGACTTACGCTGCTGGAACCGCGTATGTTAAAGTCACTGCTGTAAGTTAAACAAAAAACACCACGGAAATACTAAAGTTCCAATATAGTTACACTCATCATTCCACATCTGTCTCCAGAAACAAAACACTTGGCCATATTCCATGGCGAATTTCTTACACTGAACTGTCTATTCTGACCAAACAAGAATGGAGATTGATGGTATTCAAAGTATGTTGTGCAAATTAAATGGATGCATTAAGGACTGGCTTTGACACAGAAAAAAGCAACCTTTCACTTATTGAAATAACAAACACGGAACTTATACAGTTCAATGTTGTTCATCAGCTTAGACAGGAGAGTTGGGAATGATTATTGACCATTTACTGAAAGTATCTGTCAATGTGAGTTTATTAGAGAATCTAGTTAAGTGTTGGAATGTACTTTGATTCTAAATTCAAATAAATACTGCTTTCCAAAATCAGAAACATATGCAAAGGGCCCACAGTAGACAAGATAACTTTTAATTTATTATGAGTTGTTGTTATTTTCTGAAGAAGCAGCTTCTCTTTTGCTAGAACACCTCTAGAGGAAACACCAATTTCAGAAATGCACCAATGCATCCACATTCCAAACTAAACTTGACATTAAAATAAGAAGTGGAAAAATAGTTACTGAAAAAATAAATGGGCATGGTCTTCAGACCTTTTTAAAATCTGTGGTGCATGCTAAAGCCAAAAAGGGATTTATTTTCAAATAGGAATTATTCTAATTCACAACTCCATTGTGCTTCCATCCTACATCCATTGCTAGCCTTGACATAGCTTTACGTTTTTGCAGCCTATTGCATCATCTAATCCAAAGGTTCACCATACTGACCCAATGCAAGCATGTGTTTCCTCTACACTGAAAGGATTTTTAGGTAGACGGAAATTGCAGCCTTTATTGAACATATTAAATAGAAAGCTAAATGTCAGTCAAGCTGAGACCAAGAGCACTGCAGATTTCAAAACGTAAGGCAGATCATAACTCAAATCTCTGAGTACTTTTTTATTGTGTCCTCTACAAGGAAAAATGCCACTCATTCCCTTTTGCCTTCCATTTATCATTGGAGGAACTTTTCTGAAGTCAGCTACAACCATGGCTAAAGAGCTGTGGCCCAAATCTAATAGAACTAAGTACTCCCAGTCAATGTCACTCAACATCCTCATCTTCATTTATTGGGGCTGTGTAGAGTCAGATTTGCACTCAACCCTTCCTATTTCGAGGCAGGAATATTACCAATCAGTCACTGATTGCATTTTGAAATAAGAGCAATAACTGTAAAACTAAAGTTATGCTTGAGGCCAAATTGTATTCTGAAAGACTGAGGGATGGACTACTGTAGTGCTTAAATCATAGAATCCCTATGGTGTGGGAACAGGCCCTTCAGCTCAACAAGTCCACACTGACCCTCAGAGCATCCCACCCAGACCCATTGCCCTATAACCCACCTAATCTACACCTCCCTGAAGACTATGAGCAATTTAGCATGGCCAATCCACCTAACCTGCACATCTTTGCACTGTGGGAGGAAACTGGAGGAAACCTATGCAGACACAGGGAGAACGTGCAAACTCCACACAGACAGTCACCTGAGGATGGAAATGAACCCGGGTCCCTGGCGCTGTGAGGCAGCAGTGCTAACCACTGAGCCACCGTGTTGCCCCAGCATATGTCCACATATGTTGTGCAGTACAGAACATAATCTGTTACTGCCTACTGGGCCCCAGAGATCAAAGGTATATGGGTCAAAGGTCCAGGTTGCAGTAAGTATTCTGAAGCCAGATATCAGAGATAGAACAATTGTCTGAATGTAAGGATTTATGCAGGTCTCAGACAAAGCCTAAGTAATGGGTCAGTGGTGGTTGCAAGAAGATGGTACAACAGGGTATTGTACTTCCATAGATGTTTACTTTCTCTTCCAAAGATCCCAACTACCACTGCTTAGTCTCATGTTATTTAAACCTAGAATTTTCAAATAAAAACCAAGGCCACTGAAATCTTACAAAAAAAAATTCCAAACATTAAACTAAATAAAATGATCTATATTTGAGTTTGCAAAAGTGTAGTGCAAGCTATCATTCTATTATTAACTGCTGTTATAATTTGCTAATATATCTAACCAAGGCTGTGTGTAATATTTGGCCCTTCGTATCAGTATTTTTTGGTACTAAGGAGGAAAAAAAGGGAAAAATTCCCTTCTCCAATTCTGATTTCGTTCATCCTGAAATGTACAGGAATTCATCAAAATATAACAAATGAAAACTGTCAAAAGAAGTTTGATAGTAATGTACTAGAATATCCCAGACACATTCTACAGAGCCTTTGATTAATAATTAAATTACAACAGGCAAGAGTGATATCATACTCTTAATCTTCCAGTATTATCAAGTTATGAATGTTTTAATCTGAAAGACAATTAAACATTTATTACTTGAGATATCCTTCAGCAACCCATGAGATTAAAGAGCACAGAGCACATTGTCAAAAGAGAAAATTGTTTGATGCTGTAGTAGCACTCATACTCACATCTTAGAAATAAAATTCCATCATGTTTATTTGTACACAGTAGAAAATATTGATATTAGCACAGAAAGTGGATCAGCTAACTGAGAAACTGTATGAAATATTGTATACCAAACAATTGGAACAATATATCAGGTATAATTAAATTATTATCTTTCACGTAGGCAAAGTATAAACACTAATATTCCATTGGTCAGCTCATTGGATTATGATTTACAGTTCAGTGGAGATCCAAAGCTCCTATTAGGAAATTGTTTAATCTCTATCTATGCAATAACTGATTCACATAATTATACCCCAAAACACAGAAGAGATCAGCTGCATCACAAAGGCAGCCTCTAGATCACAATGCTATAAGGCAAAGCACCCATTCAGACTAAGTTCAAGCTCACAGCCTGAAAAGGTCAGGCATTATACAGATGGTTTTATTTGGATTAATGCTATTTTTATATCAACACTTGAATTGAAGTTAAGATATGTTCTGAAGGTTAATCTATTTTATAAAGCTGCCCATAATGTTAAATAAAATGTCTCCTGTTGTTGACAAGCTCTCCATAGATTGAAATGTAGTTGTAACAAATCTGAGATGGGGAAATGTTTTTTGGTTATACCTGGTAGTAGAACTATATTCCAGACCTACAGTAAGGAAGTGGCGTTTTAACTTAGGAGAAGCTCTTGAGAACTAGGTTTCAGACAGAGAAACAATGATTTGCTGAACTGTATGTTATAATAAAAGAAAAATACTGAAGATGCTGGGAATATGAAATAAAGTGCTGAAAGTATTCAACAGATCTGGCAGCATCTGTGGAATGGAAGGAGATATTGAGTATAATGTTTGAGTTGAATATGACTTCTTCTTCAGAAGCAAGTTATTTGTTTCTATACAAACACACTAATGCAACACCAGAAAATGATGTAATAGTTATGGTAATGTGAAATTTTTACACTAATTAACTGCAAAGCAAAAGCGCAAGACAATTTCTTATCACACTGAGCAACATAGCGCATTTGTTAAGTTCTGTTAAGTTGTTAAGTTCTTTTTCTGAGTTTTATGAAAACCATAGGTTTTCCACGTAACAACGTATGTTTTTCTAAAAGGAACTGAAGTAAATTAGAACATAATACTTCAATATTTTTGAGCTGATTTTTATTATAATTT